CCAGTACCATACGTAATTTACACTGACTTCGAAGCACTTATCAAACCTATAGAAATTACGGAACACAATACTGATAGTAGTTTTACGTAATAAACTCAAGAACATATTCCTTGTGGGTTTGGATATATAGTTGTAAGGTATGATTGGAAAACAAACACGCCCGTGATTTACAGAGGTCCCGATGCAGCGGGAAAGTTTCTAGAATATCTACAAAAAGAAGAGAGAACAATTGGGGTAATTTATCGTGTAAGAAACCAATGTGTATGACGAGGGAAGATTGGAGGGCCTATAAGAAGTTGACGAGTTGTCATGTTTGTAATAAACCCCTGAATGGGGATTCCATAAGAGATCATTGCCACGCCAAGGGTAATTATCGGGGAGCCGGGCATAACGAGTGTAACTTGAAACTAAAAATGAATTCTCAAACAATACCCATCCCTGTTGTGTTTCATAACCTTAGAGGATATGATTCACATCTCATCATGCAAGCTATCTCAAAGACCGACGGCGGTTCAACGTGTATTCCTAATAATATGGAAAAATACATATCATTCTCATCGACTAAAACTATACATTATACGGACAAGGATGGGAAAGCTAGAATAAAGCAAATTAATGGGCTTAGATTCATAGACTCCGTACAGTTTCTGTTATCTTCACTGGACAATTTGGTTAATGCGAACAATCTCGATGACTTTGCAATAACAAATCAATATGCTGATCGGTTAACTCGGCATTTGTTGGCGAGAAAAGGTGTATATCCTTATGAATATATGTATGATTGGTCTAGATTCGACGAAACTAAATTACCTACCCTTGAATCATTCTATAGTAACTTAACAGAATCTAAAATAACCGATTATGAACATGCTCTGACGGTCTGGGATAAATTAGGCTGTAAGAATTTAGGCGATTATCATGATCTGTATGTAAAAACCAATGTACTGTTACTCGCCGATATATTCGAGATATTTAGAAAGATATATTTCAAACAATATGGCTTGGATCCGATATGGTACTATTCCAGTCCGGGACTATTGTGGGATGTATTGTTGAAGAAGATCGGTGTAGAACTAAAACTACTCACAGATTACGATATGCACTTGTTTATTGAGAAAGGATTAAGTGGTGGTATATCGATGGTGGCGAAAAGGTATTCTAAGGCTAATAATAAATTAGTGGAAGGATATGATCCGACACGCACATATTATATCTGGATGGCAACAATTTGTATGAATGGGCTATGAGTCAACCTTTACCCACGGATGGTTTTGAGTGGGTCGATGTGAATCATATCGAAATGAATCATATCCCCTCAGATTCTGATAAAGGGTACATACTAGAAGTTGACTTGGAATATCCAAATTCATTACATAAAGACCATAATAGTTATCCACTAGCTCCCAAACGATTAATGGTGAATAAAGATTGGATGTCGGAATATCAACACTCCTTGATGGGTAATACTAGGTTAGCTAACGTAGAAAAACTCGTACCAAATTTGATGGATAAGACAAAATATATAGTTCACTACAGAAATCTACAGTTACATCTATCGGTAAGTATGAAACTAAAGAAAATACACATAGTTCTAAAGTTTGATCAAAGCCCTTGGATGGAACCCTATATAAGGCTGAACACAGGTTTAAGAAACATAGCTATCAGCGATTTTGAAAAGAATCTACACTCTCTCAAAAAAGAAACGCAACCCCTATATTTTCAAGATGTTTATCTCAATATTCAAGTTATTATAACACATTTATTATTGAAGACAACACTATGAAATTTGGCATGGTGGCAGTACAGTTATACAAGTTTAAGTCCAGACTTCGACAGTTCTCTCACTAAGATTGACTTGACGCAATGGGGCGTCTTTCTCAGTACCTCGTATGAGCGCCACGAGCTGCGATCACAGTATTACACCTCCTAGGAACAGAACGGATTAGACGCCGGATTCTTTCCTGAGGTATTGCTCTCCACTCCTCCTGCAGTGCAACGGCTATGGCATCCAACGTCTCCGGCGGCGGTGTACGTGCATGTACTCGTCGGTCCAGATAATCCCAAAGATGTTCAAATGGGTTGATGCCTGGTGATCGGGAGGGTCATGGTAACACATTGACGTTAGAATTCTGGAGAAAATTCACTGTTGCATGAGCAGTGTGCGGCCGGGCGTTGTTGTGTTGATAGAGCTCCCTCTGTTGGTCGAACATCGGCAGAAGATGAGGCTGTAAGACATCATTGATTTAGCGCTTGGCTGTCAAATTGCCACGAATGATCACCAAGTCTGATCTTTGGTTGTAAAAAATGGCTCCCCACACCATGACGCTCCCCCTCCTCCAAATCTGTCGACCTGCCAAACACAGTTCGGGTCAAAACGTTCGTTTCCTCTTCTAAAGACAAGCTGTCTTCCGTCACGGCGTTGTAAGAGAAAACGTGATTCGTCCATATCCGAACGTTGGCGTCAATGTTGGTGGCGTAAAACAGGTCCAATAAGTGGTCTTCTTGCACGTAGACCGGCCTCTTGTAGACGGTTCCTAATTTTTTGTGCGGACACTCTTCTCAAACCTGGCACCTGTGTTGCAGTGACGGTAGGTGTGGCTAGCCGATTACGTAGGTGGGTAGCCCGGATGAATCGATCCTGAGGTGGTGTGGTAACCCTTGGCCTATCACTTCTGGGGCGATCTTCAGTTGCATGAAACTGGGTGTATCAGCTCCAAAGTCGTTTTATGGACATTGAGTTGCCGGGCAACGTTTCCAAAGCCTTGTCCGGCCTCAATACGGCTAATGGCGATATTTCGATCTGCAGCACTCAACCGTGGCATTTTCGACCTTGTCTTATGGTGAAAATGATAAAGTGAATCGCTAATCAACACGTGCCTTCATAAACCCATACTTCTACTGCTCTTTCCATGAATTGCACGTGCATGAGGCTTTTAGCATGGGCCACGTGAAAATTGTGCTCACTATGATGAAAGAAACACTAAAATGCCCTTGTGAACGAAAATTGGTGTGTTTGGGCGCTTACGTTAATAAACAGTGTACATGGTATAATGCACATCAGAAAAATTATATTTACAGTCAATAATTTTCTTCTAGGGGTTTTCTCACATTTTCAGACTGGGGTTGCGTTTCTTTTTTGAGAGAGTGTATATAAGTTCATGAATAACTCAGGACTGGTCGGCTTGGAGTCAGTATACTGTGTCTGCGTGGGGTATTCATGTTAAACTGCGGCACGGTATCTCAGTGAGCTAGCACTATAAATCGGCATCAGTCCAGACTAGTACAAGCAGCCACACACACACGCGTGCATGCACGTCGCTATATAAGTGCAATAACCTTGGAAGCGACATTAAACACAATTTCACCTCACCTATAGCCAGTCCGGCTTTTAACAGAAGCAAGATATTTTATAACAACTTAGCTGCACTACATATGCAGAAGAGTTATATAAAATTCAACAGACCGGTGTACGTTGGTATGAGTTTTCTTGACTTGTCGAAACACTTAATGTATGACTTTTATTACAACAAACTTAAGAAGCAATACGGCGATAGATGCGAGGTGTTTGTACGGACACAGATTCTTTGTTGATGGAAATACGAACCGAGGATGTATATAAAGATATGACAGAAAAAGGATAGCAAACACAAACAGTATAAGGAAGCATTATTCAAAGGTAGAACATTCAAACACGAGATGAACTCTTTAAGAAGTTACAATCATAGGATATATGGATTAAGAATGAACAAGCCATCATTATCCCCCTTATATTACAAAGAGATGGATTGATAAGGATGGTGTAACTACCTTTGCTTATGGTTATGGTGGTAATACTGTATCGTTGGGAACTATGAGCAACTCTTCTCATACAAATGCCCTGCCCGGTCCATCTTTAAGATAATAAAGAATAGGCTGTCCTTCTTTCATAACCAACTGACTAATGTTATATATCTTAAGAGACCAAATCGGATAGGTTGCGTGACGTAGGCCTCCTTCGAGTTCAACGGGCTGGTATAAATATCTTACGCTTACTCTATCCAGAAAGTTTTTGTTCTTTGCCTCTCCACGGTGCTGAAGATTCGGAAGTTACGGATTTCATTTTAATCGGATGGTTTCTTTCTGATTAATCTTGTTACTTCATTATTCAGCACTGATACAACAGCTGATAATCGTGTCACCCATTCGGTTGATCTTAATCGTTTCCGATTTCATTTGGATCCCATTCTGATAGCCAAACAAATGTTCCGCTAATGTCCAGTTAAATCATTCAATGATAGCTTGACTTGGCCTCTTTTTCACCATGCCTAAATTCGACAAAGTTAACAGTTTAGTTACTGATCCCATAAACTCGCGACCAGGATCTACTTGAAATAGCTTGGGCCATTTTAGTGGTCCGTGTTTATATATGCAGCTCAGTGCATTAGCTACTTATGTTGAATCTTTCGAGGTTAATGGCTCAGCCTCTTTGTATCGACTAGCCACATCCACTATGGTTAAAGCGTATTTATACGTTTTGCGTCTTACCTTATCATGGGGAAGAAACTTCATTCGTCGTAAAAATATCAAACTTCTTCCTCGGTATATAACGCGGTGCTGGTAAGTATATTTGCCACATCGCTTGTTTCTTCAACCAATCCTTGGCCACACCTTTAGATACCTTAGCTGCAGTGACTAATTTTTCTATTGCTCCTATACCTTTCCAATATCCTCGTTGGCTATAGTAAATTTTATTCTTATTAATTAATATTGATGTTTCTTTAAATACGTCTCATGACAATCGTTGAATCGCATCATCGTTTACACATAAAAAAATCCCTCTGTAGTAGCGGTATAGGTATATAAATCTGGCTCCAGTGGAAGTGGTCCAGAATCACCATTACCTATACTACTCATACAACTATTACGTATTTGTTGTTGTGTCTGTATTTGGCATTTGATACGTGCAACCTCAAGTCCAATGGGAAAGGCATAAGCATATAAAGGGATTGATAGTTTGCAGAATGGCAGAAAATGTCCAGGTTGCGGCATTCGAAAACTACAAGGCAAGGGAAGGACTGACTCCCAATCAGATCGTCCACATCTTCTCAACTGTGGCTGAAATCTATGAGGAGGCAAGTGGACATAACCTATTCCATTCATACTCTGTACGTCAATGTAAAGACAATCATTCAATTGTAAGACAGTCACATAGTTGGTTGGTTTGAGTCTAATCTTTCCATGGCTATCATACAGCAGGTGCGACGTTATCATACAGCATGTGCGACGTTATCATACAGCAGGTGCGATGTTATCATACAGTTATTTAATTGACTTTAATATCATCTAAATAGACTATGGACGATGACCTCACACCTGTCAAGTTAACACGTTGTTAGAGATGAATATGAAGACGAAGTTTTGTCGTATGTACTTTATGAATAACCCCTTGGCATTCCATGTTAGAAGTATGGGTGCTCAACACTTCGCTTTTTAGCTTATCGTAAATGGAATTGGGCTTCCTGACTTGGTTGATGTCCCTACAGTCTTCCTCGTCTTATTGCTTAGAATTGTGCGCAGTGGCACGGATCGTTGCTCGGATTTGTTTTGCACATATTCAGTTATTGAAATGTCGCTGTAATGGAATGTTGCTGACTGCGGCTTTACCCCCCTCGATGCCAGAGGGACATATGACCATGTTCATCAACTCACGCTTTGAAGTAGAAAACAACTCAGACTACATGGCACACATTAAAACACTTGACCGTTTTTCGGCCCCGTAGTAGAATTCCGGGTGCACATAGGTTCCCAGCAACCTATGCTGGTCGTTTGAGGCGACTGAATGGATTGAGTGGTCAGAGTCGATGACTTCGTTGACTGCCCCACGGCGTGTCTGGCAATATCAATCGTTTGCTTGTCTGGCCTAGACCCTTTTGAAAGACACCACTGGAATAAACCACACACAACCTCTCACTGAACGATTCAGGCTGTTGGTCTACGCGCTGAGCCGAAACAGTGTGGTCAGAAAATCTAATGTTCTATATGACTATGTGTGAACAGCATCCTTTCCAAATCTGTGTTGATGGTGTAGAGGGGTCAAGACCATTCCATGGAAGGGGCGGTAGGCTCTGATACCACCAATGTGGAGTTGTCGTAAGATTGTTCGTCGGCTGATGGGTTGTCCCAGTGCCGTCGCCGCCATTGACGTCACTGTCACGTATTGGCTCAGCAGGTGGACTGTCCGCAGGTAGCGGTCATCACATGGCGTGATGACCCTTGGTCTTCCCGATCTTGGACAATCTTGTGTCTGGCCTGCTTGCTGATAATGGCTCAACGCGTTGCTGATAGTGGTTTGACTGCAGTTAAAGGTTCTTGCTATCTGCCGTTGAGGGTCCCCATATCGGCCATACCAATAGCTCTATCATGTTCCTCTTGTGTGAGTCTCGGCATCTCTCTGATGTTCTTTTGGATGCTGCACCCTTGCTCTGCCCCACGTCAATCATGCACCAACATTTTTATCAGTTCCAAAAAATCCTGTTGTTCCCATTTTCATGACTGCACGAAATTCACTGAATCCTATAAAAGGTGACTTTCATGTGTGCACAGGGTATGTTTAGGTGAATGTTTTCTGATAACGTTCTACCTTATCGCACTGTCTTGACCTCAGATAAAACGTAATTTACAAGTGATAAGTTTCTTTTGCCCGGTAGTGTACAATGTGGAACTGTAAAATTGACTCTTTAAAAAGGAAATGCAAAACGGATATTTTTGGCCATAAAAGCAAAATTAGCGGAGCAAGAGGTGCAAAATAAAGAAGTTTTATGTGTTGTAGGGTCAGTTACAAATTTCCCGGATAAAAATGATCACAACAAGGACATGCAAACCATAAGTAGTGAAACACGTACAATCCTGAAAAACGCACCCAGTGCATTAACAAAAGGGCCATTGAGCTGCACGTACTGCACGTGCAGCAGCATTGTGAAAGCTGTGAAAGTGCAGGGTTTTTGTTTGGCTGGCATCTGCGTCAACAACATGCCAAGATTAACAGAAGTGCAAAGAAAGAACGTCATAGGCCGCTTGGGCAGCCAGGGGAATCCCGATCACCTGTAGCCAGGGTTTTCAGTGTAGTGCCCAGTACAATCACACGGCTATGGGATCGGTTTCTACAGCGTTGGTCAACTCGTGATCGGGCAAGGTCAGGACGCCCAAGAGTAGCCACTCCCGCCCAAGATCGCTACATCCGACTGCGCCACCTACGTGAAAGGACGATCACAGCCAGCTCAACCGCATCCCAAATACCGGGGCTGCGTAGAATCTCCGACCAGATCATACGAAACCGTTTAAGATCTACGGGCAAGATGTCCTGTTCGACGCGTCATATTGAGTCGACAGCATCGTCACCAACGACTGCATTGGTGTCGCCGGGAACTGCATACAGGAAGTGGACAGGTTTGGTGGGGTAGCGTTATGATTTGGGCGGCTATCTCAACATCTCATCATGCTATGACAGGTTTGGTCCATATCCAGGGCAATCTTACGGCCCAATGATACATCAACGAAATCTTCCTACCACACGTCTTCCCAATTGCAGCCAACAACAACGGTGTATTCCAGCAGGACAACGCATGACCACATACAGCACGGATCACAAGACCCTGTCTACACAACAACAATGTCTCCCCTGGCCCACCAGATCCCAGCATTTGAACCCGATAGAGCACCTGTTGGATGAAATAGCTAGACGGCCACGCCGACGTCAACCACAACCGGATACGTTGCAGCAGTTGGCTTTTGCGTTGCAGGCCGAGTGGGCTACCATTCCCCAAAATATGATTCGCATACTCGTTCCTTCCATAGGCAGGCCGCTATCGATTCCAACGGGGGACATACGTGGTATTGATTGTAGCTGACCTTCACCTTAGACTTTTCCCATGTACTGATAACTGAGATGACTACAATCACCAACGGTTCTCTCCACAACATTTTGGCTCAATACCTTGTACGGTTCCTTGTATAAATGTGTTTTCCTGCATCACAAAAATCTGGCTTTCTTTTGTTGAAGAGTATAGTAAATTGATTCAGGGGGCAGTGACAAACCTTGAGCGGAGATGTTAACTAAATCCACATTGCCATCAGGGTCTCCCTGACATCATTGTGGTTGTACACATTCACGCAGAGACCTGCATGAGAAGAGAAACGAGTTTTCTTTTGTTTAGTAACTTGGATCTCCTAAAGACCGGACTCGCGGTCATTCCCTCCTACACCACGTGTATTTCATGTATACTCATACATAAAATCATATTTCAAGTTATAAGATGGAAAATAGCATTTTCATTATACCTCATTATGTCCAATAGAACTGAACGCAGCGAACATCTTGGTTTATACATTTATAAACAACAGGTAATATGTCACAGACTAAGACTATGGTTTGCCATGTTGATGGTAAATACAGTTTAACAGGAATTACAATTGAAAGTGAATGTCTCGCGTAGCCGCGGAATGTCAGTTCTGTGTAAAAGGCAAAATAGCGGTGAAATTATTTGAATAGCGTACCGAAAATCAGTGATGACAAAAAGCAACACTTAGCGGATTATCTTAATTTGAGATTCAAAGATACGATACATAACAAACTAGTATACATGACTTCCTAGATCAAGGTCGGCGGAATTAGGAAAGGTTCTTTATTTCTTGTTTAACTCCGCAATATTCCAGCTGTATAACGTCTGGCTGTTAATAATCGTGCCATCGACATTATGAAGGATAAGATGACTTGCATTCCAAATTACCAGGTCTAACCACCCGACACAGTAATCACCTCTGAAAACATAGTTGGTATTTAGTGTTATTGGCGCTAGATTTGGGACAATATTCATGTTTTGATCCGAGCAAAAATACACAAGCCGGAGTTATGGTTACCTCGGAAACAGCCACCACAACAATTCACCAAGATGATGGCGCCTCACTGTTGTTGACTGTCACAGTATTCACTAACTCACCCTGTCGTGGAAGGCAAAGTATTTAATCACTAACCCTGTCATGGAAGACAAAGTATTTACTCACTAACCCTGTCATGGAAGACACAGTATTTACTCACTAACCCTGTCATGGAAGACACAGTATTTACTCACTAACCCTGTCATGGAAGACACAATATTTACTCACTAACCCTGTCATGGAAGACACAGTATTTACTCACTAACCCTGTCATGGAAGACACAGTATTCACTAACTCACCCTGTCGTGGAAGACAAAGTATTTAATCACTAACCCTGTCATGGAAGACAAAGTATTTACTCACTAACCCTGTCGTGGAAGCCACAGTTTTTACTCACTAACCCTGTCGTGGAACACACAGTATTTACTCACTAACCCTGTCGTGGACGACACAGTATTTACTCACTAACCCTGTCGTGGAAGACACAGTATTTACTCACTAACCCTGTCATGGAAGACACAGTATTTACTCACTAACCCTGTCGTGGAAGACACAATATTTACTCACTAACCCTGTCATGGAAGACACAATAATTACTCACTAACCCTGTCGTGAAAGACACAGTATTTACTCACTAACGCTGTCGTAGAAGACACATTATTTACTCACTAACCCTGTCATGGAAGACACAGTATTTACTCACTAACCCTGTCATGGAAGACACAATATTTACTCACTAACCCTGTCATGGAAAACACAGTATTTACTCACTAACCCTTTCATGGAAGACACAGTATTTACTCACTAACCCTGTCGTGGAAGACACAGTATTCACTCACTAACCCTGTCATGGAAGACACAGTATTTACTCATTAACCCTGTTATGGAAGACACAGTATTTACTCACTAACCCTGACATGGAAGACACAGTATTTACTCACTAACCCTGTCATGGAAGACACAGTATTTACTCACTAACCCTGTCATGGAAGACAAAGTATTTACTCACTAACCCTGTCGTGGAAGACACAGTATTTACTCACTAACCCTGTCATGGAAGACACAGTATTCAATAACTCACCCTGTCGTGGAAGACAAAGTATTTAATCACTAACCCTGTCATGGAAGAAAAAGTATTTACTCACTAACCCTGTCATGGAAGACACAGTATTTACTCACTAACCCTGTCGTGGAAGA